CACGGGGCTCCCATCAGCCATGAGAAACAAAACCAGGTCGTGTGCAACAGCCTAGGGGCACCGCAGGTTACTGTATTCAGTGAAAGGAGCCAGGCGCAGGATGACAAGCCTGCATGCTGTCACCCCATGGGACCTGAACAAGCCCGTGTCATGAAGTGAGTATAGAGTGGAGGCCAGGTAGAGTGAAGGCCAGGTAGAATGGAGGGCAGAAAAAGTAGGTGCAGGAGGTGACATTGAAGGTGCTCAGTTCTAGGGTGGCGGCAGCAAGGAGTTTCAGTGGGCCACTCCCAGCAGGCTGACGGAACAGATCAGTAATGTCCTCCATAATATCTCCAAAACCTTAGAAGGCAATATTTGGAAGGTTTTCATCATAAAGTCGGGAGATGAACATCCAAGCAGATAGATGCTTGACCTGATCTCAACATTACACAATGTGTGGCCTTGAATATTGAATTTACATGGGTCACAATCAAGATGTACGACATCTGATGATCTTCTGTATGAGTTTAAAAATATCTGTCAAGTGAAGAAAGTTAAGAATCATTGAGGGCAGAAGAGCTTTACATCTACAGACAGCAAGCCCATGCTCCCTCCCTGAGGCCCACAGGTGGTGGTGCTTCCTGTGTCAACTGTTCCTCTAGCCAGGGTGTGGTGGAGTTTCCAGGCTCCGCGAGGCTGCACAGCTCTTTCCTGGACAATGAGGGGGTCAGCAAGGGCTTCAAATATGCACTCTCCTCCCTGATGGTTCTCACAGCACTGTGGATACATTATGAGAAGATATTCCTCATGTTGCCATGTCATGGATGTGGTTTTTGTAAAGTCAACAGAAAAGCATCTCTGTGTTGGTTTGTTTAAGCTAAACTGCCACAGGTAGAGCCCACATAAAAAATTCTCTGGACTCATTAATAATGTTTAAGAGTCTAATAGGGCCCTAAGGCTAAAACGTTGGAGAATCACTATTTTAGGGCTAAATGAGAAGTTGAAGTGGGCTGTGGTACTATACACCCGGTACTGGGGAGCCTGAGAGAGGAGGATCACTTGAGCCCAAGGTTTTAGACCAGCCTGGGGCAATATAGCCAGACCCCATCTCAAAAACAAACACACAAACAAAACCTTCTTTGAGTGCCTTTCTCTGAAAAAAAAGCTTTCTGAGCATTCTGAGATGCTGTTAATTTGCATTTATGGCAATACGTTATTCACCATGAGAGTGCTTCACCTAACGAGCAGGCTGTCACCAAGAGGGGCTCATGCACCTACTCTTGTATACACACAGAGCTATTGGCAGTTCTGCTCTCTGGCCTCCTGGTTTGAACACCTGCTGTCCCTCCTTAAGTCAGCAGAACTGCTCATCCTGTTTCCTGCATCTGCAGATGTTAGGGATGACGTCACAGTGAACCTTGGTCTTCAACTCGACTGGGTTGAGAGGTGTCTGGGAAATCAGAAAGCATACTTCTGGGTGTGTCTTGGAGGGTCCGGAGAAGATTGAGGAGGGCATCAGGAGAATGAGTGAAGAAGCCCAGCCTTGAGCATGGGCAGCACTGCCCATGGAGACTCTCACCTTCAGGAGCCACGTGGGTGCCACCCCAGCCTGCCCCTGACCTTGGCCCTGGGGATGTAAGTGGAACCCAGCAACCACTGGGAGTGTGTGTGTTGGGGTCCAGGTGAACAGCCTTGTTCCGCAGCTCTGATCAAGAACAAATCCAGTAGATACTGCAAACTGGATACGGGGGATTCAGGCCTGTCTCTCCTGGGAGGAGATTGGGAAACACCTCCCTGGAGTTGCGTATGGGTAACATCTCTGTTCTCTAAATCTGGTAGCCTGCGTGGCAGGCATTAACTAAATAGATGTGAAGCAATGAAGGAAGCTGGACTTTTCAGAGTCACCTTCCCCTAGGAGGCTGTGGTGGACAGGGAAGCCCTTTGATCTGAATCCATACAGTGCCATACACTCAGTTCTTGGGCTGGAGCTGTGTGGCTTTTCTACTGCTGCTGTCCACATCATGGGAGGGAATGGGTCACCTGGAGGGCTCAAGACCATGGTGTGCAGGCCTGGGAATCTGCTCCTACGAAACCCATATAATTATTACAGGCAATTATAGGGGCAGCATCCCTCCTTGGAAAAGCCAACACCTGAAATGCTCCAAAGTCTGGAGTGTTGTGCACCAGCAAGGTGCCATAAGCAGAGAATTCCACCCCATGGAATGCTTCATGCACAGAATTATTAAAGATACTCTATTAAATTGTCATCAGTCTATGTGTATAAGATGTATGTGAAACTAATCGATTTTCTGTTTAGAATTGGTTCCTATCCCAAGATATCTCATTATATGTACACAAATATTCTAAAATTTAAAAAAAAAACTAAAATTTGAAATACTTTTGGTTCCACACATTTCAGATATATATATATGTGTATATATACACACACACAAATATACATATTTACACACATACATATAATACATATATATGATTTTTGAATTATAGTTATATATAATTACATTCTGAAATTACCTAATTTGTATATAACAGGTATTTCTTGTGTCCTAAACATAAATCAACCACTTTGTTTCTTATATAACACTATATGGATAAAAAGTCAGCTTTGTCTTATCCAAAGGTCTATTTTCCTTCTTAAAGGGATTTTCAAGAATTAATTCAGAGCCAGCAGCACTATTTCCTCACATGCTAACGTTAGAATCAAAACCCTTGCCCAGGGGGCTGGGCTTTGGCTCAGTGGTGGAGCACTTGCCCTGCACACCT